AGGAGGAGGAGGAGGAGGAGGAGGAGGAGGAGGAGGAGGAGGAGGAGGAGGAAGTGGAGAATGGGGGAGGAGGTGAAGGAGTAGGTGATTAAAGAGAAGGTGATTGAGGAACATGTAGTAAATTACATGATCATATTAAGAACAACAGAATCTGCGATTAACAGATATTTTCATCGATAAGGCCTTCGATGTCACGAGAACAACCAAACCACCGAACAACGACATATCCTATTTTGTCTTTTCTATATTTTCAGTCGTGCAGCCCAGCAGAATGGTCGGAACAATGACGTTACGCATGCGCAAAAACAACGGCCGCTACCGCATGAGGGCGCGGTCGTCGAGCATGGGAAGGGTAGAGGGCGCGCAGGTCGCTTCCATGATGGCGACGTGGGACAGCGAGCCGGAGAAGAGCGCCCTCCAGCGGATCTCGCGAAGCTGCGAGAATATCGTCGCTCAGATGCAGGTGAGAAGTAAAAGCTAACTAATTTACCTGTAGACGCCAATTAATTAACCTGTAGAAGGTAATTATTTAACCTGTAGAAGATAAGTAGATCTGTAACTAACTCTTAGAAGCAAATTAATGAACCCGTACAAGCTAATAAATGAGCTTAAAGAAGGTAATTATTTAACCCATAGAAGGTAATTATTTAATCTGTAGAAGGTAATTATTTAACCTGTAGAAGATAATTAACTAGAAGCAAGTTAATTAATCCGTACAAGCTGATAAATGAACTTGTAGAAAGTAATTAATGATCGAAGAGCCTATCTCTCCCTGGGTGCAATTGTGGTGCTTTTTATTGTGGGGCTTTTTTTAATAGTGGTTAGGGTTGGGGTTGAAGTTAGGCTTATGATTAGGTTAGGGTTAGGATTAGGATTAGTGCTATGGTTAGGGTTATGGTTAGGGTTAGAGTTAGGATTACGGTTAAGGCTAGGTTTAGGGTTTCCTTTCAACAGCATCCGGCGAGTCATGAACCTTATCACGTTACGTCACGTCCATCATTAATCAGCCTCTAACGGTTAATTCGTTAACCCCCAACAGGTTAATTAACCTCTAGTATTGGTGAGAATGCATCCAGGCAGTCGCGTCTGTGATGTAGGCTACTGTTCGCCGAACGGACCCGGGATCCGGTCCGGCTCCGGATTCAGATTGCAGAGGTGTCAACCGTTAAGCTGGCGTCTAACCTTCGATGGTGATTTTTTTCGAGGGATGTATGTAGGGCGTAAAACACGAGCAAGCTGTGAACAACTCGAGGCTCGAAAAGGGAGAGCTCGGTATGTGTGTGTATGTGTGTGTGTGTGTGTGTGTGTGTGTGTGTGTGTGTGTGTGTGTGTGTAGTGTGTGTGTGTGTGTGTGTGTGTGTGTGTGTGTGTGTGTGTGTGTGTGTGTGTGTGTGTGTGTGTGTGTGTGTGTGTGTGT